CCTATGTGTGTGTTTAATAAGAATTTGAATCCAAGGGAAAGACTGTCGTTCTTGGTTGAGAGAATGAGTGACGATGGAGCCCTCTCTCTTTTTCTTGGGGTGTGCGGCTATCTTAGGGTGTAGCCTTTTTAGGTCTTTTTTGTGGGTAGATATATAGGTGTAGGTACATGGATTAATTGGTGGAAGACATACGGATTGAGAGTAGGATTGTCTAGGATAGGTGTTATTTGTAGCAAATTGCTAGGAAATTACATGTGAATTAGATGATAAGAGAAAATCTTTTGCCATGTGACAACTTTCCATTGACTCTTTTTTCTTTTCTTGATAATTACTAAAAATCTACTCCTACTAAATAAGTAAATAAAAAGTAAGGTAAAATTACTACATTCAATATTTATTTCTCAAAAATCTCCCACTTAAAATTAAACTAAGCTAAATAAAATCATATCTCTTTTTCTTTCTTTTTTTTAAAACTTTTCTTTCTTCGTAAAACAAAAAATAAAACTAATACTTTAAAAATATGTAACTCTTTTTTTGTAATTTCTAAATTATCTAAAATAAACCTATAAAAAGGTGAAATAAAACTACAATATTAAAATTAAACTTAAAATCTATTTAAATACTAAAAGTGAGTGAAAAAATCAAATATGATCAAAAATTAGGTGCTCACACTACTCATAGAAAGGCTTATGACTTGTACTACCGATTTTGGGATAGTAAATTGTACATAGATTTCTATTTTGAAATTGTTCGATGTTAGCAAATATTTTCGTTAATTTTGTTAATGTTAGACTTACCTAGTTTTAGAGACTAGATGTTATCACGACTCATTTAGAGGGATTTTGGGTCGTGACACTGTCACTAGGAATCAAAGGATACTTTATCAAACTTAATATAGTAACATCTTTACAAAAGCATGAACTTAGAAACTAATAGCATATACAAACTCATTATAGATTGAACTTTTGAGAGACATAGTATAATATTTGAAATTGAAGAGCAAATCCAGTAGATTCGGAAGCATATGGCAATTTAGCAATGATAAAGATGTTGATTGAAAACTCAACATCGACTAAATATACACGGATGGATCTGTTATGATGTGTATTAAGTTGTTTACGTGCATACATGTTTAAATAGTAACCATAATTCATATACGAAGTCAAATAAAATGAGGTATTTTTTTGACTTATAATATCAAAATTTGAAAAGGTACATAAAATTTTATAAAGCAATGTATTGAAAAATTTAATCTTAAGCTAATATTAAGCATCCTATTGCAAAAGTTGAGAATTTGTAGGTACTGAAAATGGAGTGGAAAAGTTGGCGATCAAAGAATATAGTATGAAATAGGAGTTAGCGTTGAAATTGAGTATTAAATTCCGGAGAATGAGCAACTTGCTTGTACTCGTGTCTTAGTTGACGTGGATAAGAAGATAGCTGGTTCTAAGGCAATGATGTTTAGCATATTCATACATATTTTGATAGTGATTTAACTTTCATTTTGAACATGATTGAGCAATATAACTGTAGAATGCAACATTTGGAATGAAATTGAACAAAAATTGAGGAACTCCAATAGTTCCCACGTTACACGAGTGTTGCACAAGCTGAATCCCAAGTATCAAACACAGAGGCGGATTTAGGATTTAAATTTTCTGGGTTCAATTTTAAAGTTTTTAGCATTGAACCCATTATATTTTTAAAGTTATGGGTTCAAATCTACTATATTTACAATTTTAACGAATTTTTACCCCGCGTCAAAAATTATGGGTTCAGTTGAACTCTCTGATCATACAATTTCCGAGATACAGAAATGGGCGCAAGTTGAATCCAAATACCACACAATCCGCATTATGCAGGAATGGCACACGAGTAGAAGGGAATTGAAGTAAGGCAAAAAATGACAGAAACAACGTACTATCTTCTTATTGCGGGAAATTATATTTAAATTATTACCCTCCTCTTCAATCAAGCTATCTGTCACAGGGGTGTTTTATGCTCCACAAAAACAGCCTGCGCGGCAGCCAAGTCTCTACTTGACTTCAGCCTGTTCCAACACTCGGCCAAAATTCTGCAACTTTGGACTTAGATTTATTTAGGCAGCTTTCAACGTAGTAAGTAGATACTGATTTTAGAATTGTGTGCTCTCACACGTTTTTCTCTCTCTCACTTTCAAAAAGGGAAGGGTGCTGTCCATTTATAACATATGAACCAGCCCCATTTACACAATAG